GAGAGTGGCAGCTGTTTTTTGTGCACGTCAAATGGAGTTGCAAACATATATATATATGTAGAGTTTTTCTCATGTAGATCCATATATGTAGAGTTTTTCCCATGTAGAGTCTCATGTAGATGTCCCAAAAACAAAGCCGAGGTCCTTGGCCCTTCGTTTCAGCTTCGTTGTCCCGTTTAGCGGTGTTTAGCGGCGTCCGAACCTCCGCAGGTCGCCGCTGCGGTGCCGCACGAGTGCCTCGCATGGCCCGCGGGCAACCGACTGAAACCCTTTTTTGGGGGGGTGGTTGAATCATGTTGAATCATGGTGCAAGTTTCCAATCCTTGGATTCTTTGTGTGTGTGTTTTGTTTTTTTATATATACGCATGAAGAGCATCAAATGGACTGGAGCAGAAGATGGTGGTGGTGCTTGTTTGGGTGATTTAGATTGGTTCGTGTTGCTACCTACCTTTCCCGGTGCCCCACTTCGAAGCTGCAAACCGGCTGATGGGCTGGCCGACCGAGTGGAGCGGTCGGAATCGGCTGGTTCGAGAGCCCGGTCGGGGTGGAGCGAAGGTTAGAAGTGTGTTTTCTCCGTTTTGTTCCCTGACAAAATGTATATAGCAGCTCATTAACTGTGTATAATACGGATTTTTGTTGCTGACAATCCAGCAATCCAGCACCATACAAAGGGTGGTTGTTGGATGGAACATATATCTTCAGGGGGTCTATAAACCACCCTTTGGAGTGGTGCTGGATTATAGAGGTTCTGTATACAGGGAAGATGTCCCACAAATTTCTGTTCACCGTTTGAGAAGTGGTTCTATCGATCTTTGAGAGGGGCTCATGTTTCACCAGATTGATCCTTTACATCAGATTAACACGACATGGATCATACCTATATATAGCGCGTCAACATTGAGTTCTGGTGGACCTATACACCTTCTGAGTTTTTCTTGCGGCACCCCAAGTTTGGTGCAGTCTGACCCCGTAAAACCGGACGTCCTTGCTTGACCTCCAACAGTCGGAAGGACCAACTCCAGTGAAATGCAGTTCCCGACCTCTCAGGGCAGCTTTGGCCGCTGCTCACTCCTCCGCAGCCATGACTCGCCGGTCCGAGGCGCTGGTGCAACGGGCTCCACAGCATCGAGGTACCGGAAGGCGTCGAGGATCTGCACGGCGCCGCTTGGGCGATGCTTGACTCGGGCGACCTCCCAGTTCCACCCGGAAGAAGGGAAAGACTTAGACCCCGTCGACCGCCCATGCAATGGAAGTGGAGGCCGATAGATAGCACTCGCCGGTGGATAGATTGGGGGTCCACCTCCATGGTAGCGAGTCGTGATGGGTTCGTTTCCCTTCTTTTTTGTAGAGATGAACATTCCGAACCCGGAGAAGATGTGTGTTAAGATGTCTTTGTTCCGTTCTGTCATGTTTACTCGGCTTACTCGAAACCAGCAAATCCAAGGCCAAGATGGCATCAGGCCAGTGACTGGACGGGAGGAGACGCACAGGTGGCTGGAAGGGAGCCTGGTTTGTGGTGTTGTGTGGTTGGGGTTTACATGGGTTGTTCGAGCATGAATCATAATCTGAAAACATCTCCAACCTTGTTCACCGGCGGATTTGAATTTGTTTGAGTTATTTCTTGTTATGTTTGGATTAGATCACCATATTGGAATAATACATGTCCATCGTTTATTATTGAGAATCTTTTTTGGCCCTCTCTCATTTATACATACGATTCCTACTATATAGTCTCCGGAGGCGTTCAGTACTATATAGTAACTATAGTAGATTCGCAAACACCCAGACGCTCCATGGGACTGCCATGTATGCCGCCCCATTGACCCCTCAAACCACCACCCCCGGCCGTTTCTCGGCAGTCCTATGCTATGCGTCCCAAACAGGTCGCGTCTAGGACAGGTACTCACTCTACTTCGCAGATCAGTCCCCTCAGAGAGGTAGCCAGTGACCTGAACGAACGGACCCGGAAAACCTGGGGTACCCGGGGTACCTGGGATAGTCGAACCGTTCGGGTCATGAAAAACCTCTGTTGGATCAGTGAGCTTCGACGAAGCGACGACCGGACGTCGCTCGTTGGGATAGGGGTCGACGTGAGCCCCCAAAAACCAAGCCGCCATTCTGTGTGAACAGAATGGAGATGAAGATGGGATTGCTGGCGAGGTCAGGTGAAAACACACCGGGCAGAGGTAAACCGGGTCAAACCGGCTTGGGTTTTGGATGGTGTTTGTGCGGACCCCTCAGTCCACCGGTGGCTGCGTGGATGTTGTCGACGTGTTCGAGCTAAATTGGCTGGGTGACGTCCATGCAGAAACAACGTCCATGCGAAGCCTTTCCAACTCCTTAACACAATTCATTTAGGTTAAACAGTAGAACTAATACTGTTGTACTCATTGAGTTGTGGTATATAGTATAAGTTAGCACAAGATTCACTCCAACTTCCACACAGAGACACCCAGAACTGAAAATTCGAAGACTTCGACGTAGGAAAGTCTTTTCGAGCCATCGAGCCATTGGTCCACCTTGTCCACCTCCGAGTGTGGGAGTGGTAGGACGGTTGATCTAACCCTATTCCATGATAGGCTGTGGTAGGACGGGTGCACCAAGTCACTACTGTATATTTGTCACTACTGGTGTTTGATGACGGCCTTTGACAAAAAGAGGAGTTGGCTATGTTTTGCCTGAATTGGCCCTCCATTGTCAGAGAAGAAGTGTTGTTTTAGGTTTGAGGCCGACATAGATCGAAACCTCATTCATTGGGCTTCTTCCATAGTCAGTGTTGTGTCATTCCTTCTTTGGCTTTGATCACCAGAGCAAGTTTGCCGGTGCCTCCTTCCGTGAAATGACCCACTCTCGGGCGATGGTCTCAGTCTCGGTGAGAAACAGAAGAAGGCCCTGGTGCACGGCTCTGGTGCGCCCATCGTTTGGGCCTCCATCTGGGCATTTCCCGGATTGATCAATCGGATTGTGGCAGTGTCCAGGGCACCTGTGTCAGGCAGTCACTTCCTGTTCATGTTAGCTGGACAAAAACCACCGGGACCACCGAGTGCCAAGATGCCATGAAGTTCACGTCCCGTTCGCCACCTCGTCCTTTAAACCGGTGAGTGAAAACGCAGGTTTTCGCTCCAGCTTCATCGTGGGGATGCCCGGTGTGGCGTAGGGGGTTCGGTGCGACGTCTTTGGTCCTCGACTCTGTCTCGTGGTGGTTTTAGAGATGTTTTTTCCAATCTTGACTTGATATGATGGGTCCCACCAACGTTTGCTTGAGATGTTCGTTTGTTTCAAGTGGTTGAACCCTCCCAACCAGTCTTGTGATTTGGATGTCTTTGACTCTCCCCCTTCACATACCGACACAACTGGCCTCCTCTCGGGCCTTTGGCGCGTTTGGTGTTCGGTTTTTTCGTCATCGGGTGTTGGGGCGTTTGACGTCAGGCTGGGAGACCCTGAAAGCATTGGGGGGGAAGTATGGGGAAGTTTCGTTAAATGTTCACCCTAGAAGTCAGCTTGACCTCGTTTTACTGGAGTTGGTCATACGAGAACACTACTCGTTTGGAGGTGTTCAGGGTCATGTTCTTAGAGTTCTTCTCAGTGCAGGAAGGTCCTCGTTTAAAGGGCGAGCCACCAACCCGGGTGTTTCTGACAAGATTGATGCAATCGATGAAGTTCTTTTTGGGAGAACACCTGGGCCGAGTCGTCGGATCGTCCGTTTGTTTCTTTGAAAAGGCATGCAAAAAGAATATGACGGATCCCACCTCTGAACGACAAGCAGCCAAAAAAGAACATGTTAAGACATATAACATCATATAACCCTACAAGTCAGCTTGACCTCATTGAACCTGGGAGAGTTGTCAGACAAAACCAATACTTAAGGAGGTAAAAGACTAGGTTTTTCTGGGTCTTTGGTCTTCGGACCAACGCCGCAAACTCGAAACATCGCGACCGCCAGGTGGATCACCACGAAGGGATCGTGGCGAGGCCCGAGCTTCATGAGCGCCTTGGCGGATCGAAGCTTATGCGGGTTTGGTGTGTTTTTGACGGGCTAGCCTTGACAGCTAGACTTGCTAGACTAAAGCATCAATCCTTGACCGTGCTATGTCATTCCTCCATGTGTTCTTATGCAAAAAATGAAAGCGGACACCATTCATCATCTCAATCATCCCACAAACTGAACTGAGACCCCCATCAACCTATTTTAGC